GTGCTAGCCTCGTCGTAAAGCCTGCCCAGTGTGTGTGTGCTCTGCTGACTCTCTCTCTCTCTCTCTCTCTCTCTCTCTCTCTCTCTCATGTACGGCTCCGCCCATGTCACTCCTGTGCCGTGTGCTGCAAACTCACAGGTCCTCCCTTGAGCAGTGTCTGTCTCCATAGAAATGGCAAACATAAATAACCACAGTACAAAGCAGGACAAGACCCCAGAGGCCTCAGGACTTAGCTGATTAGCGTGAGGGAACACGGCGCCCAGTGCCCGGGGTCCTGGGTTAGAGGCCCACCTTCACATGTGACTCTGGACTTCTGTGAGTCTCCCCTTGGACATATGTAATACGCAACTTGGATCTTTAAGTTTCCTTCCCGCTAAGGTATTTTTAGCTGAGTTTTTTTAAGTGCTCAAACTCAGAGACAAAAAGGATGGAAGTAAAGAGAGGGACCAGAGGCCAGTTCCTGGCAGGTTTCCCAGGGGGGTGCATTTGCTTCCTGGGTCCCCCTGAGCAATGACACCCATGTGTGGGTGTCCTGCTCCATGTGCCTGGCCGACCTTTAGATGAGGGACTAGAGACAGAGCAGGAGCTGGGAGGCTCGGGGGAAGCTGAGAGCCGGCTGTGGCATCTGCACATGGGTACTTCCTGACCTATTTCCTGCTCTGGCTGTCCTCCGAGGAGAATGCCTGAGGCCAGGGCAGAGTCTGTGAGAAGGAGCCCCATGGGACTCACCTGCCCAGCACAAGAGGGCCCATTCTCTCCAAGAGCTCCCAGTCTGAGCTGGGGATGAGAAATCCCACGGCTGGAGGCTGGGCGGTGGCCCACTCCCGAACCCCCAGGGTACCCTTCCTCCAGCTTCACCAACTTCAAAACCGGCCAGAGAACAATGGTGAAGACTCAACTTTTAAACATGTACATGATTCAGAGTGGATGAAGCCACAGAAGAAACCAGCCTCGGGACATGGCCCCAGACATTTCCAAAGTCACTTCCAAATACTACAATGAAAACAGCTTTTGAAATGCGGCTTCAGAGTGAATCCCAGACAAGTAAGAACAGAGAGTTCTCTGCCTTCTAACGAAGCTCCGCCCTCTTCTGGCATAAAACAGAAACCAGCACCAGGACCCTTGATTGTCCAGTACAAGGCGGGTGGAGGGGTGGGGGGCTTGGGACCGCAGCCTGCAGCCCTGCACACACCCTCTGCGAGCTAACCTGGCCCCGGGGCTGCCCTTCCATTCCCACCTCCCCAGTCCACCCACTCCTGAAGACAGAGCTTCTCACAATGTCTATGTGTATTTAATGCCCCCCCCCAACCCGGCCACAAGGTCCTGTCCCAGCATCTGACACAGCCAGAAGATAACAACTAGGACAACACCGTGATCCTGATGATGAGGATGATGGTGATGCCATTTTAAGCAAAGACAAGCGCTGAGGACAACAAACACGGCCCGAGCCACTGCTTGTGCAGGCAAGCGGGACTCCTGAAGTCGCTTTCCCAGGAGTCCAGAGGCCAAGGAAGAGTCACGCCACGGCCCGGGAGTCAAGGACGCCCAGGGGAAACTCGGCAGGTCACGTGCTCGCCGGAGCCCTGAAGTGCGCTTGGCCCCACTGACGTAACTATTCGAGAATTTAAAAGTCCCCAACTCGGAGGAAATGCAGTGCAGTTTTGTGGCTCATTCACGCGCCGCCTTGGACCGCCGGGGGTGACCCCGCTCGAACTCGGAAGGAGCCCCCGCGGGGGTGGCGCGGAGTCGGGCCACGGGCGGGGACCCCCCACCCTCCTTGTGGGCGCTGACCCGGGTGCCGGACCCCAAATGCAAGTGGGGACTCCAACGAGGGGTGGGGACCGCGGCCCCGGGTACGGACCCCAACAGCTCACCCCTGGGGAACCCCAGGTAGGGTGAGAACCCGGCCACGCGCGCTCCAACCGCGGGGGGAGACCTCCACCCTGGGCGGGGACCCCAGCCGCGGGCGCGCACCCCGACGGGTCTCACGGACGGAGCGAGCCTCCTTGGCACACGCCCGGGACCCGCCGCTGCCCCGCAGACACACTCCTCTGCCAGCAGGGGACACAGATGCGTGCTTCGCCTCTTTCCTGCCCTGAGCCAGTGCCTCTTGGGGGAAAGCTAGAGTGAGCTCCGGCCACCACTTCCAGCACGCCTTTGTCTGGCCGCCAAGGTCCCGGGGACGGCCGTCTCCTCCCTGACCCCGGCGCCCCTCCCGCCCGCGGCCGCGGCGCACTTACCGGCCCGGGGCGTTCGCCGATGACTCGCGCGGTGTCGCCTTCCTTCGGGGACGCGACTGCCAAAACTCCCCGAGCGGCTGAGTTTCCCGAGCCGAGCGGCGGCGCGCGGAGTGCCCCCCCTGGCCCGGCCGGGCGACGCAAACTTTCCCGGGGCAACGGCGCGGGGCGGGCGCGGGGGCGGCGCGGCCCCCGAGGGTCAGGCAAAGTTGCAGCACAAAAGGCCAATGACTGGGAGCGCGGCGGCGGCCGGGCCAGGCTCCTCCCCCAGCTCTCGGCGCTCGGAGCGGCCCGCGCGCAGCCAGCTGCTCGCGCAGGGCGCCCGCCGCGCTCTCCTCCCGGGCCAGGAATGCGCGGGGCCGGCGGCGGCGCGCCCAGGAGTCCCGGGGCCCCGGCGGCCGCGCGGCCAACCGCGCACGGGCGCAGCCGGACCCACGACGCAGCGCCGCCGGGCCGCGGCTCCCGAACGCACGGCGGGCTGCTTCCAGCACGCTCTGCGGCGTGACCACTTGTCACAGGTCTGAGTTTTTCCACGGCGCTTCCCACTACGCGGGGCAACCGCGGGGAAGGCACCGTGCGAAATGCCCGAGGCCAGGCGCGGGCCACGTGTCCCAACACGGGGATCCACACACGCTTGGGAGTGGGGAGCAGGCCCCGGAAAGAAGGTGGGGACGAAGCGGTGCCTCCCTAGTTCCTGGAGCCAGATTCTGGCTCTTCTTTCTTCCTCTGCGTCGAGCTAACGCCGCTTGACCACAGACCCTTAGAGAGCGCTGTGCTCTACAGTTTGCAAAACTCCGTATGCCTCCTCCCCGGCTGTTGCACCCTCCGAAGGAGGCAGAGACTATAAACACAAACCGTTTCCCGCTGCCATGTTTCCAGGGAGCCCGTTTCTATCTGGGAGTTGTTGGTTTTATTTTTTCCCTTCTGGAGTCCCACATCAACTCCTCTGCTAACATCGACCTCATACCCAGAAGTGGCGCTTACCTGCCCCTGGTACCTCGGCAAGGTATCACCTTTCCTAGGGCTATTTCTGCGGTTAGGCAGGAAGAAGAAAAAGAACTAAGAAGAGCCTGTGGCTATATGTGGATGCCAGGCTTCCTATTTTAAGTTTGGTTTCAAGAAGCATTGCTATATTTTATATGCAGGGACCAAAGGGCAAGAGACTCACCAATGACTCAACGCTTCCTTTCTTCCTCTTAAAGAAACAGATGCCCAAGGCTTGCCGGCCCTAAATGAGAATTCTATGTAGAATAAAGAAATTGACTTTTATTACCTTCCTCTTAAAAAAAAAAAAAAAGTTTTTTTAACACCATGCGTCTAAGAGCCACGTTTTTGATAGAAATTTCAGTAGATTCCTTGTTCACAATGGGTATTAATGTACCCATTTCACAAATGTGATAACTGAGACCATAATAGGCTAATTTGGTTAAATGTATACCATCCACTATTGGTAAAGTAAGAATTGGGATGCCCAGGTTTTCTTGCTTTTTCGTTTTTGGTTTTTTCCTGTGTCCTTGTGCCCTAATTCCAGGTCACACCCATTTACGGTTGAGGTATTAAGCTCAAGCACTCCAATTAGGCCAAGAACAAAGATGCATTTGAGGTGCCATCCCTTTCACATGAAACAGCCCCTCCCCACTTGCTGGGTGCACCTCTTTCATGACAAAGGAAGATACCACTCTGCTTTTAAACCCACTGGTGTGGTCAGCCAGATGATGTCCCCCCACTGAGGATGTCCACATCTTAATCCGCATGGGCTGTAACTATATTAATTTACAAGGCAAAGGGGAATTAAGATTATTGATGGAATTAAGGTTGCTAATCATCTGACCTTAACATAGGAAGATTATCCTAGATTATCCAGGTGGGGCCCCATGTAATCACAAGGGTCCTTGGAAGCAAAAGAGGGAGGAAGAGGAGAGGTCAGGAAGGGAGGTAACAACAGAAGCAGAGACAAAGAGAGATGTGAAGATGCTGGGCTGGTTTTGAAGGTAGAGGAAGTGCACCACAAGCCAAGAAATGTGGCAGCAGAAAAAGCCAGGACATGGACTTTTCCCTTGGACTTCCAGAAAGGAACGTACCCCCAACAATGTGATTCTAGTCCAGCAAGACCCAGGTCAGATGTTTCACCCACAGAACTGTAAGAAAATAAATCTGTATTGTCTTAAGCCATTCATTTGGTGGTAATTTATCACAATATGATAGGAAACTGACACAGTAGGTATCTGGTCATTACTATGATTTACTCCTCTTTGAAGGGTTTTATAGAAGTATCTTGGATTCTAGGAATAGAGACAGAGAGTCTAAGATCACTCTTTGCAGGAGAATGCTCTGGCTGAGCAAGGCTTGTCCCCAGCCCTTCTCCGGGGCATCTCCCTACTCTAACAGTGCCGTGGGGTTGGACAGCCAGCAGGCAGACAGAGCCATGGTCCAGTGTAGGACATACTCTATTAGAAGATGAAATCAAGAGCTCCCAACATCATAGGGGATTGAGAGTCAAATCCTGCCACCTGATAGAGATACAGCCACACTGGAAACTCTCCGCCAACCCACCGAGCCCTGGTCCCAACTACAGCCAGACACGCTGGCCAGATGGTAAACCTGAAGCTACGGTAAATGTGCACGGCCTGCCTCATGCTGCTCCAGCTCCGGGTACCACCACACTGCTGATACAGATGAGGAAAGACGTGTGTTTGTGCCCTCTGGCTTGGGATCCCTGGAATCTAGATAGAAAGACTGAATCACAGGCAGAAAGCATGTGCCTCAGTAGTTGCCTCCATGAGTGAGAGTCTTCACGCCGTAGGAATTTTTGGGGTCTGAGGACAAGACCAAGGGCTCTGCAGAAATGTAGTCTAAGTGTTGTCAGCCGTGCTGTGCAGTCACTGTTGACCTGTCTTCTGGAGTCCTGGGGTTTCTGGGGTTACCCTAAAGCCTGTACAGGAGGCACCCGCAGCACCTGTAACCACAACTATTCCACTTTTATGGGCCACGACTTTGGGTTCCACATAAGATTTTGTTTGGAGCAAAGGTTCATTTGGAGAGAAAATGAAAATGTGCAAACGCTGCTTTCTAGGAAAGAATTCGTGCAAGTGGGCTCCCAGAATCCAACCTGAATCTCAAGGAGAGTAACACATCCAATGTTAAAGGCTGTGGAGTGACTGAGAAGGTGTCTGAAAGGAGATTTTTTTTTTTAATGTAAATAGAGAGAACAGTATAATGAACCCTATGTATATTACCTACTTTCAATATTATCAAATCGTGGCCAGTTCTGTGTCATTCACATTGCTGGTTTCCCAGCAGTGTAGCTGGGAAATGTAGTTGGTAGCTACCTAGCTTATTCTGCTACCCAGATTATTCTGAAACAAATCCTAGATACCATCATTATATCAGTTAATAGTTCTGTTTGAATCTCCAAACAGATTGGGAAGAGAATCTGGGAAGAGAATCTTTGAAGGCGAACTATTTATTTGTTTATTTATTTATTTTGCTCTCTCATCCTCTCTGAAAAAGGACCGACTATAATCTGTAAATATTAATGAGAGACAACCACAAACACCAGACCTCTGGTCTGAAACTCAGTGCACATAAGACTCACTGGGTTATTGTTAAAATGCTCACAGAGATTCTGGTTCAGGAGATCTGGAAAGGGGGGGTCTCAAGAACATACATTTTGCTTTTTTTTTAAAGATTTATTTATTTATTTGACAGAGAGAGATCACAAATAGGCTGAGAAGCAGGCAGAGAGAGAGAGAGAGGGAAGCAGTCTTCCCACTGAGCAGAGAGCTCGACGCGGAGCTCGATCCCAGGACCCTGGGATCCCAGGACCCTGGGATCATGACCTGAGCCGAAGGCAGAGGCTTTAACCCACTTGAGCCCCCCAGGCGCCCCAAGAATGTACATTTTCACAAGCAGATTCTGGATGGAGATGCCTTCCAAACCTTTACACTTGGAGAAACTCTGAAACTAAGGTTTCGTGGCAGGAGTCATTGGTTGTCTCCAAAACTGCTCTTCCCTCTCCGTATTGACTTACTTGTTTATACTCAAACAATTCACGTAGGTGTGGTGACGTGACACACCCTTAGCCAGTAACACAGGAAGGCAAGTCAGCTGGGCTTATGGTGACATTTCCCTCACTCTTTAGAGAAAACACAAGATGGCCTATCTCCTGTCCAGATGTCCTCCTGCCTCCTGGCATTGTCTTGAGGGCACATCGCCTGGGGCTGCCACAGCCAGCTTGAAACAATGAAGGGGATGTCTGCCAACATGCTCCGTGTGGGTGTAAGGGAAGATGAAATGTGCTAATGAACCATTCACCCTTAAAAGTGCCCTGTCTCTGGACTCCCTGCCCAGTGAGATGATGGACCTAGTATTGCTGATGTTTCCGTGCATGGGGCTGTCTGTTACTTCCACCCAAAGTAGGAACTGTCCACTGTGATGTTGAGAAGGGCTCCTCTGGTAGAGACTAGACCTAAGGCTGCAGAAAGCGATGAAAAACCACAGAGCAGATAGGAGATCATTTGCCAAGGGAGTCTTCTGGAATCCCAAAGGGAAGTTGGTGCCTAGGAAATGCCCCCAGCCTTGTGCACTAAAGAAAGCATTGGTATATGTCTGCAGTTTAATATTCTGTTGTGGCAAAAATATTTTGCTTTGGTTAAGAAGTGACAAGCCAGATGAAAACGGGAAGCCGGGCTAGAAACCTGTGCCCAAATTTGCCTGACCATAAACACCTGCAAAGTAATAAAATATTCATGAGCATCGGCACTCATTGTTCCAGGTCCTCGTGGGGGTATCAAAATGTATAAGACAGGAAAGATGGAGACGCCTGGGTGGCTCAGTGGGTTAAGCCGCTGCCTTGGGCTCAGGTCATGATCCCAGGGTCCAGGGACCGAGTCCTGCTTCGGGCTCCTTGCTCGGCGGGGAGCCTGCTTCTCTCTCCTCCTCTGCCTGCCTCTCTGCCTCTTTGTGTGCATCGAAATGGAAGTTCATGTATCTGAATTGTTGATGGGCTCCTGAGGACAAACTCAGAAACACCGGGCGCCTGAATGATAGCGTGTTGTCCTCGCAGAATAACAGGGCACCACATGTAGCCAGGAAATGTACATTTTTGTAAACTCAAGGAGTTTCATTCAGTCGATCAAAATGGCTTATTGAGTAGCTGCTATGTGGGGGTCCTGTGCAAAGTCAGATGCCTCGTGGTCCCTGTGCTCACTCCCAGAGCCAGATGAGGGATCGGCTACTACATGACAGGGGCAGAAAGGGAATATTCAATCAGCCCTGCTAGAGGTACGGGGAGACTTTTCCAGAAGAGGGAATACTTGAGCAGAGTTTTTGAGGACAAGGAGATTTTACCATGTTCAGATTTCTCATATGAGGATATTTTAATAATTATGTATTTTTTATAAATATATATTTATATTTTATAAATATATTTTAATAAATATATTTTTATGAATATATATTTTTATAAATATATTGTTAAAATATTTTTATAAGTATATTTTTAAAAGATTTTTTAAATATATTTTTATAAATATTTTTTATAAATATACTTTTTAAAGATTTTATTCATTTTTTTGACAGAGAGAGATCACAAGTAGGCAGAGCTGGAGGCAGAGGGAAAGGGAGAGGCAGGCTCTCTGCTGAGCAGAGAGCCCAATGTGGGGCTCGATTCCAGGACCCCGAGATCATGACCTGAGTCAAAGCCACAGAATTAACTGACTGAGCCAACCAGGTGTCCCTAATAATCATGCATTTAAAGCATATTAGGAATGAAACATAATTAGCACCCCAAGCCCATAACGTCACAGACATTGCCTAGGACAAAGCAAAGTAATATAGTGAAATACAAATGAAGCACTATAAGGGAAAACGGTAAGTAGGTAATGATACAAGTGGTCCACGGATAAGGTTCAAAGTCTTCAGGGTGGTACATGCCCGAAGGACACTGCTGAAACACTGAGCTAAGAAAAAAAGGAAAGTGGACAGAAGAGAAATGGACTGTTCTGGATCGTGAGAATTAAATCCGTTCTTGACTATACCTAGGAACGTTTTGTGATAACAAAGTCTATGATCAACTCATTCAACAAATATTCCTCGAGCACCGGCAGTGTTAGGTCCTCCTCGGTCCCGGGAGAGAGAAAGGCGAGGACAGAAGTAACCAACTCCTTGCCTTCCAGGTAAGTGCTGGGGGCCACCTACAGCGATTAGCAGATGAAATACAAAGACGGTTAGGGCCCTGCACTCTTGTAATCTTCTAATGCCTGTGTGTTGTCTCTTGAACCAGAGTGTGGTCTGCTTGAGGGCAAAAAACTGAGTCTCCCCCACTCCCCACCCTGACAGTGGGCTTCGTCCTGTCCCACTGTGCTGACTCTCAGCCCAGGGCTCATCACTGCCACCTTGGCCCTGTCCTGGCAGAGGAGTCCCCTCCTCGGGGACCAGACTCCCTCAGCCTGTCTGCCCAGGACCTCACTGCACCTTCAGGCCCATCTTTCTGCAGCAAGGCAAACCTCAGGCCTTCACCCTGCCCCCAGAAACCCAAATCCCTAAAGCATGTTCACCTAGAGGGCTGTCCCTTCGACCGTCAGCTTGGAAGGGTGGCAACATACCATCCCCATGACGACTTCCTCTCTGCCTTCCCCACTTAACAGTCAGATAAAGGAAACCAAAAGGGTGATTGAAACACTTTTTAAAATGACTACCATAATATTCACTACCGTTTGTCAGCATCTGGCACCCAGCTGGCTCTCTGCTAAATGGCTTCTTCTCTTCTCTCGTTTCATCCTCCCATGGGACTTTGTGGCTATTGTCCTCAGCTGACAAAGGAGGAAACAGCCTTGGAGGTCTCTGGCCCCAGCTCACACCTGGCAGAACCACGTTGACATACAGGCTGCGCGTCTACGAACCCAAGCTCCTAACCAGCCCGCAGTGACGAAGAGCGAAGCTTCATGTTATGTTTACATACTCCGAGCCTGTGGGCAGAAAATACGCCACCAGGTAGCCAGGACTAGCGGCCGGCCTGTCATGTGAGTTCAGCCCTCATACTCATAAAGTAAGTTCTGCTTCACTAGTAAACTCTGAGAAAGTTTGTTGTTCTTCTTTGTTAGTTTTTTCTAGAAGGAATCACTGCTTTGGGCTTCTCAGAAAAGTCCTCACGTTCCATGAAGGGCTGTCCAAGCAGCGAGGTACATTCCTGGGCTGCAACGCATCAAAACTTAGTTGTATGGGCGGAGAGAAATATTTGTAGGCGGGATTCAGGCCTTCGAAAAATTCGGCCATTATCTCCACCCATGCTAAGATGAAATGTCAGCCGGAACCCAAAATACATGCAGGAAATGTCTGGGGGCAGCTCTCCACATGACTTCTTAGCCTCATCTAGAATTTCTAGATGGGGCCTTGGAATTTTCCTGGAGTGCACACAAAGCCTACTTCACACACAGGCCCACATTGCCTGAACGTGTGGTCAGCTCAGCCCGCATTTGAACTTGGCCTTGTCCTAACTGTATATGATTGATTAAATGGGAAGCAAAGCTCTGCCCACTGGACTGTCTTCTTGGGTAGAAAAATGATCTCCAGGAGTCAGAGTCCAATATCGGTGTGATATCAGGGTAAGAGTGAAAAAATAAAACATTTGAAGGTTAGCCACGATATATTTGGAGGGTCTGGAGGGCTGGGAGTGAGGGGTGGTCACAAGGCGTGGCTGAGTCTACGTGGCTTCATTCTATGATTAGAATGATGACGTAGACATCTCATCTCCCCACCAGACAAGCATCTGAAGCCCCAGTCTTTGACTTGCTTCTATGTCCTTTAGACCAGCAGT